GGGTCAGAGCTGTGAGGCACATTTTCACGTCAAGTTTGGATTTTATAAATCACAACCTTGGTGTAAAAAGTGGCGTACCCAAGTTTCTAGGATCAAATTGTGCGTACGCCAGTTTTATAAATCTGACCCCAGGAGAGACTAAATCTAACTTTTCTGCCGTCATAGAGATTCCACGTCCACAACAAAATGTTTTTAAAGCATATATACTGTATACTGTAAAATGACATGCCCTTTAAAGAGGACCTATTCTGGGGTCCCAGAACAAGTTAGGATCCATCTGTGGGCTCTACAAAACATGTTCATTTGATTTAATTTACAAAAWGAATCTCAGATAATGAAATTTCACTTTAGCTCTCTTCAGAACCTGCTGTAAGCATAAMTTGCTGTTGGCCACGCCCTCCCAAACTTTTGTTTWCATTAGCTCCGCCCTCCCAACATGGGGTTCATGTTAGCACTTCAGAAATGTAAAAATAAATGATTACTATAAGCAGATACACAAGTAATTAAATACACCAATTTCTGAGCTGGTGAAGAAAAACCGAGGGGCGGTCAGAGTCCGGGACCAGCAGAGACCCCCGCGCCACCACGCTGCAACGCGCCTGAGGTCAGTCAGACCCAAACTGAAGCATCAAAACATGTAAAAAAGTGAATTTTTCACAACAGGTCCCCTTTAAGGTTTATCCTGCAGTTCAGGGCAACTGGCAGCCAAAAAAAAACTCTTTTAGATTCTAAGAGGTGCTTTGAGTATGGAGCCCGCGGGGGGACATGGGAGATTTTCTTTCCTTTTGTGTTCCCACGCAATAGTTTTGTGTTACCTCGCAATAGTTTTGTGTTACCTCGCAATAGTTTTGTGTTACCTCGCAATAGTTTTGTGTTACCTCGCAATACTTTTACGTTACCTCGCAATACTTTTATGTTATCTCACAATACTTTTACGTTACCTCGCAATACTTTTATGTTATCTCACAATACTTTTACGTTACCTCGCAATACTTTTACTTTACCTCACAATACTTTTACGTTACCTCGCAATACTTTTGTGTCACCTCACAATACTTTTGCGTTCCCTCGCATTACTTTTGTGTTCCCACACAATACCTTTGCGTTCCCTCACAATACTTTTGCGTTACCTCGCAATACCTTTGCGTTCTCTCGCAATACTTTTGCTTTCCCGCGCAATACTTTTGTGTTACCTCGCAATACTTTTGTGTTACCTCGCAATACTTTTGTGTTACCTC